TGGTCTGTACAGATACCACCTTCTGGCACATCTGGGCTTCGTGTGTTTTTGTCTGTGAATACCTGATACATGAAGTATGCCTTATTATTTAAGCAACAGGGAAGCTGAGACTGATAGATATGACACAGCTTTTCTGGATCTTTACCATAACTGAGGAACTCTCTTCCACTTTAAAAAAAAATCCATAGACTTATTTTCATGGTTCTAATCACTAAACTGCAGTTTCCCCAACTGGAAAGCAGAAATAAGAACACAATTAGTAAAAATTAGTACAGTTGCATACACAGGTGCCAAGAATTGAGACAGTTACTATTGTCTGTTTCCTTGCTTTGTGCTTTCTTTGGTTGGCATCGTGACTCCTTAAACCTGCAGCTTCGAGATGCAAGAGGCAGACATTTTCAGAAGTACCATAGACCAAATTTAACTAGCAAGCACAAACCATCTTGATGCTTCACTGATGTGGATCACATTCATAGTTTCTGAGTCTCTCCCACTGGGGCTTCTACCTTCTTGAGAAGTGCCTTCATGGTCATTGTCACTTAATTCCTAAAGGAACAACAGCTCACGGCTTGGTATTTGTCATGTTAACTGCGGAATAAATTAAATCCTCTCTTACTAATGCGCTGAGAATACAACCTGGTATTTAGGATCATTTCTATAGGAATCTGCAGAATAAAATTCTCAGCAGAGTGCAGCTTCACGCAGCAGAGGTGAAGAGGTGAAATTATGTTACCACAGGCACAAAGCACCTACTCAAGCATACAGATCGGTACATTTGCTATGAAAGTAGCATGGCGATGGCCACAGATACATCTGTCGAACAAACCACCCATGTTTTATCTTCAGGTCTAGCACAGTGTGTTCAATATGTCTCTCTGTTGCTTTACTCATAAAATGGGTTGGAGGATAAACACTAACTCCACGGACAAAGGATAACAGGCTATAGTTGATAGTGGAGGTCGAGTCATACAAAAATTCTCCACTGTTGGAGTAAGTCCTCAAAACAGAATCCATGTTCTTTCAATCCAGTAACCTGCCTTTAGGCCATGTAATATTTTAAGAACTTTCATTGAAAATATGTGAAGTAGACATGGAGGCGCTTCACGTGGATCGCGATTAGGGACGTTGCCCTTGGACCACAGAAGATGGCTGCTGCATTACTTCATGCATACCAAATGATTTTAATTAATCTCTTTATAAGCCAGCTCAGTCATTTCACTGGAGGCATCCTTTTCCAGTACTAGTCAAGACTTGTCCTTTCACTCTAAGATCTCTATTAAAAAAACAAAAGGAGGAAGTGACCAACCTAGGACAATGCAGGAAACTTAATGGAATATGACAATTACCTCCAATTCAGCATTACTTCCTTTTGTCCTTAGCATCACCTTTCTCTCATTTTTGTAAAATTGGTTTATTACTCTGCAAGGACACATTGGATTTTACTGAACATCACCTGTTATTCATTGGATCTTTAATCTAGGCTCTTTGCAGGAAGAGACAGTTTCCAAGAACACTATGGACTACAACCCCTTTTTCCTATCTCAGCAGGGTTCTTCATGTACCCTGAGGAACAGTCATACGGCCCCAGTGGAGAGAACTCACTGGGAGTGCCTTCAAGTCTGAAAAGGGAGTTACTCTTTTTTTGTCAAGAGTACTTTTCCCTCCAGCAAGAATAAAGCAAAGGCTTTTTGCAGACAATATTACTCCTCGTCTCCTAGGAGACATTTGCTTTGCTACGTCTGTATGATTAGTGGGAAACGGCAAGGAGAACCTTTGCCCCAGCCAGCTGGCACATACTGACTGGCATAGCGCTGCTCAACATAGTAATGATCTGTGGTGCTTTTTCCATCCCAGTCTTCTTTCATACCTCCTCAGCATCTGAGGAGATAACTTTTCCTCTCAAAAATTCAGCTCTACATCTTCATTTCCTCTATGTTTTACCTCTTTACTACTTTCAACACTTTTGCTACACTAGCTGCAGTGTGGGTTCACTTAGAGTCAAGACACATACACAGCCTTCACACTTGCTGAGCTTTCACCCTAGACGACTCCTCCTCTGGGGTCTGATATTCTCTAGCTTTCTTTTTTAGAATGACTAATACAAGGCCATCACTCTATGTCCTTTCTGGTTTCAGTCCCATTTATTTTTCCTATTTTGATTCATTTTATGAAAGTAAATTAATGATATAAAGAAATTATTAACTTTCATTGGTGTCCTATTTTTAGCTGGACTGCACAACGAAGTTTGATTCAATAAAAATACTGTTTCAGACTGGTTATAATTCAACTTCCTGCATCAAATACTGTTTTCCTGTGCGCTTTCTCTCCACCAGATACTCACAGGGACCTAGTTATCCACTATAGATTAGAGCTCCTATAAGTTCACAAGGCTACAATTTCATCTTGTAATTTTTAAAAGCTTATCGGGCCCTAGATTCAATTTCAAGAAACCCCTTCCGACTGGGTCTCCTGGCTTTGATCCCTTCACCTGCACATCCAGAAGAGGCTTTGGTCAAATCCAAACCAAAACCCATAGCATCAAATGGGAGCAAAATTTGGTGCAGAAATTGAAACAAAATTTGAATGTAAGCCAAAAATCACAACTCTGAAAGTCTTACATTGCTGCTGTCTAAGCATGAAGGTAAACAAACTCCACAGCTGCCAGTTTTAAGGTTTTAGACAGAACTTTGCTTCTGAGCAGGCTCCGTCTTGGCAGGGCTAAGTTACTGCCCACAATCCCAACCAGACCTGTGAGCTGGCCATCCTTTGCCTATCTCATTGCAGAAGAATCAATTTGACAATGCCACTGCATATCAACCCATTTGGGCTATGTGCAGCCAGTTTTTGTTAGGATCCCTTTCTGAAAGGGAATTTAAACTTATCTTTCTCAATCCCTTGGAGAATGCCCTAAGTTTAGGTCGGCCTGTGAGTGGCAACACCATTTTAACTTTTTTAAGCTGTAAGCGCCCCCCCCCACAATTTCACAGGTTCCAGAAAATGTGCATGCAAGAGCTGAGGTCACTCATCTGAAAGGAAGACGACAGGGTTTGCAATCTGTGTTTTAAACATCTATTTTCCAGATCATGTTTTTCCTGCTTCAGCAATTCCTGAACTATTCTGAATTCTCATCTGGTCACTCCCTGGATTTTACTGATCAGCTTCACCACCTTGGTTCCACAGCTTCGCATCTGAAATCATCACTTTAAGGATACAGAAAATAGTTTCAACTAAAATCAGCAGCTCATAATATTTTAAGTCCTCAACCAAACACAGGACCAAGGAATTGCATTGCAAATGGTGTGCTCGAGGCAGATGGTCTCCATATGCATTAACATTCCATAACTCAGCTTCAAACATAATTCCTCAGCTGTAAAGCAAATTACTTCCTCAGTCATTCCAGTGCTTCTACAGGTATGCAACCTATGTATTTCAACTGTAACGCCCCTAATACATCCAAGGCTAAGTAGTGCTTTTAAAATCAGCTCATCCTGATTCTACTCTTTGCCTCTGCATTTTTTTCTGCTGAGCCCTAAAGTACCTAATTTACATAATCTGCTTTATTTATCCTTTATCAATACAACTCACTTTCTATACTTTTTCTCTTGTGCCGATATCACTGTTTCAGTAGCAAAAGGGCTTTTCATCATACACGATTTTGTTGACTGTTTAATGAAACCAGTCGATTCTTTTGACATAATGAATTATAGCCAGACTTTACTGACTTTCAGTAATCACAGAAGAACCCTGATTTGCCTTATTCAATGTCTGTTCAGCAATTCCCTGCAGAAATGTGGACAGAAAACTACAAGACATTACTTTACTAGGTCACAAGGTGGATAAAGGAGAAAAAGGTTTGCTGGGCTTCACATGCTCCACCAAGAACAACCTCAGAAAACAAGCTGGAAGCTACAAGAATTGAGAGCCAGATTTCATGGAGAAAAATATGTTCAGTGCAATGTATTTGGTTTCCAAACAGTGAACTTGCAATGAAAAGTAAAATCAATATAAAAACCAAATACGCACATTAAAATAACTTTTTCCAACAGCACATTTATAGATGGCGGAAAAAAATATTGGACCTGTGGGCACACCAGACAACACGGAAAACAACTTTGTCCAATAGTACTGACTTCCTCTCACTGCCACCATACCAGTATTTCTGCTGGGTAGTGAATAGGATGTGGCCTAAAACACAATATACTGCACAGAGCTTGTCCCACTTAACTTGGCTGTTGCTGATGTATAAGAGGAGGTCTATTATGGTTACATGTGATCCTTATATTCAATATCATGGCAAATTTAATTCAAAAGAAATAATTTCTCTATCTAAAGTACTCTGTGTCTTCTAAACTACACTCTAGCAAGACAATGATTACACATTAGCAAACACACAATTCCTTCTATAGATCTTACCCAAGTTTTGAGCAACACAACAGCTGCTGAGAGGAGAAGATAGAAAATGAGTTGGTCTGGAATTTAACAGACTTCAAGTAAATGTCTATAGTTTGTTTAGGTTCTGTGTTCCTGCTCAAAAGTCTTTTTTTCTCCAATTTAATTTGTCTGCAAGCATTAAGGCACTAAGAACTCCTGCACCTCTAGTATAGTCTTGGGGACTAGAGAACAACGTTGGATAAACAACAAAAAAACCTATTACATCCATAAGTCATTAATTTGACTGTGAAAGCTTTTAATATCCTTGCTTTCTACACTACACACACCCCCAAAAAAAAAAAAAAAAAAATCACAAAAACCAGTTTTCTACTTACAGCCAGAACTACATTTAAAGATGGTTAAATTGACAGTTACACAATCTACCTCCAAATAATCCTGAGTTAACACAAAAAGCCTCGGTTTACCTTTAGGAATGAGATCTTATTTTAAGAATGAGGTATATATACACAATATCAGGACTATCACTGATATTGCTTGCATTTCCCAGTATGTATTTTACAGTGAAATTACGCAGCATGAAACCCCAAAGGAAATTCAATGAAACCATCTTTAGTAAAATGTAGAAACTTTAATTTACATGCAAAACTACAACATATAATAAAAAACTGGTAACTAAACAAATCAAACACAATTTGTAAAAATCGTCCACGTTGTTAAATAGGTCTGTACAACCAAAGATTTACAAAGTCCCTGTGCATTTTCATCTTTTCAATGCACAACTGAGTTTAAAGGTTCTGCTCGAATATTCCCCAAGTCAAGAGCTGAATCTGTCTCTTCATCAATTTCACCAATGACAGCACTGCAATAAAAAACAGGTTATCATTTGTTGAAATCCTCTGATGCAAATCTGGAAAGCCACAAAATTAACTTGCTAGTGAAGACACCCTCTTTTTTTTTAAATTGTAGAGCTCTATCCTTTGAACTTCAAATTTTGATGGCTGTAGGTAGAGTCTAAAGGAATTTTTTGGGGTTTTTTGGGTTTTTTTAAAGATACAGGTTATAAGAACCAAATACTACCGGTCTGTTTTAGGCAGGTTAGCCTCTGAAACAAGAACTGGAAACCTTTTAGAGAGAGAATAGCTTTTCAAAAGTAATGTCTAACTGTAGCAATTTGTAAGTGCTTACGGCATCAAATAAGCAAGACAATTTCCTTCAACAGAACCCAGTGAAATGTTATTCATTTATCCAAGGGAGAATATTAGCTCGACTAAATCACTAGAGGACTCAGTAAAACCGCCTTAAAGAGAAAAGAAGGTGAAGGTAATAGAAGACATACTAGCTCAGGATGAGAACTAACCCAGAAGGACTATAAGAACAGAGAGTCTGATCTTTCTGGCATATCCTTCTATTCACCACTTCAGAGACATATGAACTAGTGGCTGTTTCCACAAAATGACTTAACAGCCACCAGAAACTATGTTATATTAATCCATCCAATAGCTTTCTGAACAAATTTATATTTTTGGTCTTTGCTACATTCTGCAGCAATGAGTTCCACAATTAAGTTTTACAGTATGCAATGAAATACCTTTACACATAACTTGTCGGATTATCTTCCTTTTTCACGAACAGAAAAAGTTAGGAAATTAAATGAAGCAATTATTTCCTCATCTCTTTATACCACTCCTGATTTCACAGCAACCTATTACCTCTATAGCTGTGCTCAAAACATTCTTTTATAGAAAGTATTCTATTTTTTTGTAAACTTGACAAACTCGGAAACATATTCATTAGAAGGAATAATTCTGTATTCATGCAACTTTTAACATACTGAAATTCAGCACCCTTACAGGAAGAGGAGTATTAAACAGTTATTTGGCTTTTTATACACATTTATACTATTTGAATGAAAAGTTTCTGTTAGAGTAGCATGCTTAGCCCTACCTTTGTACGTTTGTCAATTTATTTCTGCTGAAAAGCTTAAGTCAAGTGATGAAAGCCTTCCAAAATGATCCAGCTTCTCAATGATATTAGATAAACACACCTAGATATAAATCTAAGTCTTGACATTTCTTTGTACAGAGATATCCATTAGAATTAGAAGATTAAAATTCCTATCCAGGCTCACATGTTGGTCACTATGACATACTCTTTTTCTGATAAAAAATAATCTCATTTTTTGCCATCAGTTTCAGAATGCTGCTGCAAAAATCGTCTTCCTAGCAGGCCCACTTACCAGGCCTTCTTTCCACTTCTCTTGTAACCCTCCTGTCTGTTTAGCACATCAGCTACTTTTCTCTGCATTTAATGAGCTTTTACTATCATTTGTCATGGCATTTTACATCAAATATCAACTCACACCTTTGACCTGTCACTACACTGGCTTCGACTGTCCAGTTGTTACACTGTCAAACCAGAACCTTCATGCATTTTCCAGATTATAAAGTGTTCTTTGTGAAAATCTCATCTAAAAAAATCCTGTTAAAAGTTAACTTTGTATACCAGATCGCTGACTTGTTGCACACAAGTTCTGTATTATCTTTTGTTCATTCTTCTATGTTTTCCTCCATCGATGGATCCTGCCATTCACAGATTGAAATAAAGAACATCTACACAATGCCTAGACTCAAGAAAGGAAAATGCTGAGCTTTATACTGACCCTTCCTAGATTGCTATCAGTACATGAGCTCGTTAATTTATAGCTCAGTAAATCTAGACCAACAATATCTTAACATTACAATGCAATCAATTCTGTCACAGAAGCATAGATACTTGCTATTTAATATGCCTCAGCTTTGATAGTACAATCAGTGCTACCCACAGATACAAATATGTAAGATGTCTGGGGCTACCAAGATGTATACAGATAGATGATATATATATATACACACACTAAATTTTTATTAATTGGTTTAAACAAGAATATGCTATACTTACACATTATCACCTCTTACAATGTACAATCCCAGCACTACTTGCTCAACTCCTTGTGAAGAACTGAACACTCGTTCATGGCTTTCATCCAAAATCAAGTTAATGGTCTGATCAAAACCTTTGAGGGTTCCCTGAAAAGATACACAAAAATAAAAGCCCTCCAATTACCTTTTAAGTAATCATCTTTTAAGTTATCATCTTTCCTCTCAAAGGTGTCTTAAACAAGGTGGCAATACTAAGGTACTAGAGAACAGATGCTCTATTTATGTTTTAGTGTTAGGCTTAAACACAAACAGCTGAGAATGGAACTTTAAAAGCAATTAATTGATTTTTTAAAAATATCTACTACTGCTACGAAGTGTTCATGCTAACAGCTGCAGTAATCTTTAGCATTGAAAGAAGTAAAGTTTCCCTTGTACCAATGACGGCCTTCTAGACAACTAATTTTACTATTTCTACACTATTTTAGTCTTCCTTGTACGGAAGTTTCCAGAAATCAAATAAGGAAATAAATCAAAGAACAGAAAAATTAGATTCTTTTGGTCAACAGTATTGAAACCATTCTTAACATGTGATTTTAAGTGGCATCTCTTTGAAGGAGATTAACTTGGTTCCACAGAATTACTCAACACCACCTCCAAAACATACAAAAGGAAGATTTTCTGTGACACTTCAAAACGCATTTGGAAAAATGATAACATAATTGATTTGTGTAATTTACCATCAGCAATTGATTCAGAAATTTAAACTCATGTAAGACACCATCATTCAAACAGTAATAATACCCGTTTATACCATCTAACCATGTAACGACGAGTCACATATACCAATTCCATTCAGATCTTTTTGGTAGAAAGTATCTTGTATCACAACACAAAGTTTACCAGACTGACTCCAACCAGACAGAAGATTTGGCAAACCTAGTATTTTTCTGCTAAAAGTACCAATTTCTCTTTCCAGTGGCCGCACAAAGTCAAGTACAGATAGAAAGATATAATCCTCATGCAAAGATCATACTATTAAGTTAAACTCAAAACACAAGAGAATAAAAGATAGGGGGGAAAAAAAAGAAAAAGGAATACTAAGGGGAAAAAAAAAAACCCCAACACAAACCCAGAAGCAATAAACCCAAAACATTATACAGTCTAATATGTAATAGCTTGCCAGTCCTCAGCTTTTCAGGCTTAAACAGAATCCCACAAAAATTCTTTAACAAGTAGCAGCTGATGTGAAGAAATGGTTTTAGCATTAAAGTTGAAGAGCTTACTGAAGAAAGAGGACATTTTAGATGGAAACCAAATTGCTGAACAGAAAAAGAAATGCATTTTCTTGCGCATTCCTATAGAAAAGGACATTTGGCAAAAAGTCAAAGCATTTGCACACACAAGTTTATCAAAGGACAAAGCTGACAGGCAACAACAAGTAACTGTTTAAATCATACAATATAAAACAATGGCCATAAAGCTTTAAAAAAAACAATTGCAAACATGTGGACATATAAATGATAATATCCTAGCATGGTTTCTTTATTACCATGATGGAAAGTTTTTATGGGGGCAAAATAAGATGTGAAAAAATACAAGTCTCACCACAATCATTCTTCCATCAGAAGTAATTACTGCAACAGTACCTAATAGTTCATTAGGGAAAGGTTTAGAGATATTTGAAATAGAACCATTAGCATTTTCTGAAACATACGTAATGTAAGCTTTACGAGACTATCAGCATTTCAAGTTTTAAAAAAAAGCAGCATGGTTGATAGTAACATTTGACAACACAGCATTTTTTATGACAACGTGTTTTAAAGTTTCACTTTACCCAATTATGGAGAGTCATACATAACCATGAACATCATTAAAAGCAGACTAAAGATTTGAGTTCACCTCTCTTCCCATTACTAACTGCACTGCCCCAAAACTGAAACAACAGTTTTACAAACACTTCAAGGTAAGTCCTTAAAAACAGCTCAGCAGTGGGCATCCAAGTCTAGCACTGTACATTCACTCACTCTGAAGGTCTGACTATCAATTTCATGTGACATCAATTTAATGATCACATATCCATCATCCTGAATAATTTTGGGTTAGTACCTTACTGTTTGTGAATAAAACTGAAAATGCCTATAGGTTATCAGGAGTACTAAAAAATAGTAAGAAAAGGGTTCCAAGAACAACAACTCACACCTTTTGAGCAAATGATGTAAAGCTGATAATTAAACACGTTAAGAGCCTTTTCAGGGGCCAGGCCCATTGTGAATCTTGTTCATCACAGATCAGGTTTGCAGCACTAGAGGCTATAGCGGACCCTATTCTCTGGGTCTCCTGTAACCTCATTCTAACCGCTAAGCCAGTCTCACGTAAAGAGAAACGGAGAGAGCCAACCAGGAAGGACAAAAGCAACGCAATAGCCCGAGGGAGCGGGTTGCAGGAGGCCAGAGGCCCCGGCCGATATGCTTTTCACAGGCCCTTCAGCAGCCTGCCGGGGGCTGGGTACCTCCTCGCAGCTCACACCTTGCCGGGCCCGGAGGTACCCGACGCCCGCAGGAGCTCTAGCACCCAACCCCGCGCCATGCTGCGGCCACCAGCCCCCGGGGCCGAGCGCC